ATATCCTCGGGTGAGGAAAAAAAAAAGCATATGGCTAAAGAGGTGAAGGGATTAAGAAGTACACATCGGCAGCTACAGTATAGTCACGGCGATGTCAAGTACAGTGTAGGAAATATAGTCAATATTCTTATAATAACTATGTGTGGTGCCAGGTGGTACTAGACTTATTGGGGAAATCACCTTGTAAGGTATACAAATGTCTAACCACAATGCTGTATACATGACACTATTATTGAATATCAACTGTAATTTTTTAAAAAAGCATGAATTCTGGAGTCAAAAAGACCTGGATTTACCTCTCAGCTTTGCCACCTAATAGCCATGTGCTGTTAAACAAGGTCTTTAGTTTTCTGCCCAAGCTTTTTGCATCTGTTAAATGGGGCTATAATGCTTTCCTTCCTAGGGTGCTATAGCATCAGATGAATGTTTAGTATGGTGCCTGGCACAGGGAAAGTGTTCAATAAAAGTTACTGTTGTTGTCTGTAGATGTGACAACATCATATAGCTACTTTGCTAGAAAGGTCTGGGAAATCCTTACCACTGCTATCGTTCTTTAAAGAGAGCTATATATTATTGTTTCCAGCAAACAGTAGACACTCTAGGGGAGACAGAAAGGAGTCGTTAGTTGAATCAGCCCATTGTGCTTCAAACAGGCAGGGTAAGAAATAACAGGGGGGAAGGAAAAGAAACATCCAGAGTGAAGGCATCTGGGAAGGCACAGCAATAGCACGTGGGTGTTAGGAGTGAGGAAGGAGAAGCAAGACAAGAGAGGCTGAAAGTTTTAACTTCTTTCCGGCTCTGTCCAGGCTGCCCCTCATTCAGCTCAGCTCTGGTTTCACCAGGGCAACTCACTGAAAGGTGAAAACAATGTTTACAAAAGCAGGTCATACTAATAAGCAATACAAATGTAAGGGATTGTTGATGTTATTACTTTGACTATGCAGCATATGCAAACATATCTACTAAACATTTCCACTAGTGAAAATTGGCATCATGATTAGGCTAGGTCAAAATTTAAATACATGGCTTTTGAGCTAGGGGAGGGGTGTGAAATGAAGCCCTGGGTTGGGCCCTAATCAATCACACTTGACTGGCATTAGGAATGGGGTGGTGAGGACATAAAACAGAGGCAAGGAAGGTTCTTCCCACAATAGTGCAATAAGCTCTGAGCCTAGACATTCATTTCGAGTTGAACATGACCTTGGGTTAGTCTTACTCTGCATTCTAGGATGCCCAAGGCACTAAATAAAGATACACTGCTTTCCTTACAGGAATGTTGTTAGAATTAAATAAAATAACAGAAGGTGTCTATGCCCCAAGGCAAGTGGGGGAGTCTTACTTTCTCCAGCCTCACAAGAACAAGCCCTCCCCAAGGATAAAAACTTTGAGCACCCAAAGAAAAACTGCTCCAAAGGGCAATCTTCAGTGTTGGATAGACCATGGTTCAAATCCTAGCCCTGCCACTTACCAGCCCTCAGAAGTGAATACCTTTGTTATTTTGTCCAGTTTTCATTATTCTTCTATTTATTCATTGACCACATAGGTACTGAACCAAATTAATTGAACAAAATGTTACTGATGATCTACTTTGCACCAGGCACAGTGATGTAGGTACAGAAATGAACAAGACTGATGAGGTTCCTGTCCATAGGAAGGCTATATTTTTATGAGAGAAGAGAAATGGACAACGAACATTTTGTGCATCAACATTTTAAAGGCTTCCCAGATGATTAGAATGAGCGTCAATAACCACTGTCAAAAGTCAGAGCCCAACAGTCATCCCATAGAGACTTATTGAGCATCTACTGTGTGCCAAGTATCTTCTAGATTTTGGGTTCCCACAAGAAAAGCGAGGAAGAAAGAGATTTAAAAACAGACTAAGAGAATATTAATCAGCCTTAAAAAGGAATGAAATCTTGCCATTTGTAACAACCATGCTAAGGGCATTATGCTAAGTGAAATCTGCCAGACAGAGAAAGAGAAACACTGCATGATCTCATTTATATGAAATCTAAAAAAAGCAAAGCAAAACAAAACAGAACAAAACCCAAGATAACAGTTTGGTGGTTTCCAGAAGTAGGGGCATGGGGGGTAAGGGGATGGAGGAAGTAGATGAAGGGGTCAAAAGGTACAAACTTCCAGTTGTAAAATAAGTGCATCAGGGGGATGTCATGTACAGCATAGTGACTCAAGTTAATACTGTGTTGTATATTTAGAAGTTGCTAAGAGAGTAGACCTTAAAAGTTCTCATTATAAAATAAATTTTTGTTAATATGTACAGTGATGGATGTTAAATAGACTCATTGTGGTGATCATTTTACAGTATATACAAATATCGAATCATTATGTTATATGCCTGAAACTAACAAAACATTAGTTATATTACATTATATTATAATTCTATTGTTATTTAATATATTCATGTTATAATTACACTATTATAAATATATGCTATTATATTAATATTATATTGTTATGTTACTCTATTAAGGTCAATTACATCTTAATTAAAAAAAAAAACGGACTAAGATTGAAAAACCAGCAAGTGGTGGGATGAGGATTTGTATCCAGAGGCTCCTGTGTCTGTGCTGCTAGTCACTGTTATACTGTTTCTAGATGATAAATGGGAGGCTTAGGGTGCTCAGGGAACCTTAACCCATCTCTGGAGCCAGAGAAGGATTCTCTGTGGAAGTGAGATTTAAGCTGTGATTGAATTAAGAGGAGTCTAGGCAGAGGAAATGGTATGCAATGACCCAGGGTAGGAGAGGGCAGAGTGTGTTGCAGGAACTCATGGTGCAATGCTGTTCGATGGAGAGAGCAAGGGGCAGCTGGGAAGGGGACTGATGTTGGAGCCCTTTCCCCAGGGGTAATGGGAAGCCTAAGGGTTTCTACAGGGGAGGGCCTTCTCACGAGAACTCCGTTGCCCGCAGAACCCAGATCGGAGCAGGGCGAGAGTGGATTGCAGGAGGGATAGGGTTTTTTACAGACAAATGGTTTTCATCCAAGGATGGTATGGCACCTCTGGGCCATTTGGAAATGTGTGGAAATAATTTGGGTTACTGCATTAATTGGAGATGTTAAAAACCCAGTAACATGAGGGACGCCCCCCAACCCCAAAGGCCATCTTCCAAATGCCAAGGGGGCCCACCCTGGGAACCCAGCCGCAGGGAAAGCCAGAGGCGTCACTGGAGGAATGTCAATGTCATGGGCCACGATAATGCAAACGTGTGTAGCGGAGAGACGCTGAGGACGGAGGGGGCCAAGGGGTGAAGGGAAATGTCGGGGCCAAAATTTATTCATCTTACATAATGGATGCTAAGAGACACTGTCTAAATATATGGGTCCAAAGATAGATGGCTAAATGGATTAAAGCTATAAAGGAAATTGAGAGAAACGCAAGGAAAAATTATATATATATATATATATAGACTAAAAATTGTGAGGAGGAGAGAGAAAAGGAGAAGAAATGGTATAACTAAGCTAACTTCCTTTTCTTTCACAGCAGGGAGTCAGCAAATATTGTGAAGGTTCATGAATCAAGAACCGGAGGTGGAAATACAATATTTAGAATTATAGAGGAAATCACCAGAACACCAGGGAGAAAACAATCAGAAAATGAAGTGGAATTGAAATTTGAGTTTAAGGGAAGGAAGCGGTCAGGGAAAGTCTGTTTGTATGTGATTTCTATCTGCATAGGCTAACATTAGTGACCTTCAGTTTCCTGCCGTACTTGCTGCGTGCCTCTGTGGCGGGCATCTCTAATGGGCTCTCACTCTCTGAGAGGCTGGCTCTCCTCAGCAGGGACCTGCAGACACTGCGGGTCACCGTCACACACCTGTCCAGAGCTTTTAGTGTACCATCTCCTCACAGGCACTGGGGAGGTCCTTCCAAGACTACGAGAACTTCCCTGCCCCTGCGGAATCTCCATCCAATTTTTCCTTAAGTAGCTGGGGAGGAGGTGTGCAGGTGCTGGGAGGGATGAAGGTCAGCCTAAGAAGAAAAGGGGACATTCTCTGAGGCACCCTTATTTGCCGGAGGGCTTGCTCCTATTCCACGGAGTCAGGTAAGAGCAGGGACTCACTCTAAAGAAGCAGGCAGATTCCTAAACAACCCATGTGTTTGTGAGTAGAAGCGGGGTGGGGAGGAAGGGGAGGGGGTGGGGTGGGGTAGGAGTTAGAATCCAGCATGGTCTGAACCTTAGCCCTACAAATACCAGTGCAGTAGGGCCTCTATCGGTCATTATTTTTTATATGTCCAGTTGGTGGACCTACTCCTCTATTTGTCTGTGAGACAGCCTTTCTGTGAGACAGTGAGAGCGTATGTTGTTCGTTGCTCATGTGTCTGTCTCTGAATTTTCTGTCATCTGTGATCTCCTTAAGGGTGAATTTGAGCCTCATTTATCTTTATATCCCCTGCACTGAGCAGATACCTAATAGATGCTGGTTGAATCAAGGCATAAATAAACAAATGGATAAATGAAAAAATAAATTAAAGCCAAATGAATGAATGAAAAGCTTATTATAACCCCCTTTTAAAACATTTGCCAAACAGAGTGTGGAGTATAACAAAAATTCCATTAATTTCTGCTGCATCCCTGATTGCGTCAATCTGGTGCGAGTGTGTGTGTGTGTGTGTGTGTGTGTGTGTGCATGAGAGAGAGAGAGAGAGAGAGAGAGAGAGAATGAATTGTGGCTTCAAACTAAAGTTTAGCTGCTAAACTTGGACTCTTAACATATTCCCTGTCTTTCAACTATTCTCAGGGAATCTAAGAAATGGACAATAAGCAAACTCACTAGGTGGCCACGATTCTGAGACACAGAAAACAGGAAAGAACTAAAGGATAATATAATTGGGTAAGGCTGGGCACAGCATGTGGGTGCGGGACTGAGCTTGAACAGAAGAAAAAGAACACATCACCAGTTGAAAATAATCAGACAGAAATTCACTAATCCAGTCCAGCAACTGCAAATGAACAAAGGGTTGTGCTGGTCCCACTGTACCTTGGTAGGCATAGGCTTCTTAAAGGCTATTTCTGCTTGCATCCAAACGCCCCTTGGAGACTCCAGCACAGACCAGATCTTCTCCTGAACCACGTGGTTCTCTTCAAAGATATAAACGGCTAGGGTGTCACTCATTTTTAAAAACCCATAGATGGCATAATAAAAACGTAGACAATACTGCAAGTTTCCTGGCAGGGAGGGACCGTAGAGCCTTCCAATGTAGCCAGGCTGAGATGTATACTTTGTGTTGGCAAGCAAGTAATACCCTGTGAACAGGACACAGTAGTCAGTGTATCAGCCATGAAAAGTTTAAATAAGCTAGCCAAGATAATCAAGTGGGAAAATTTGGTTAAAGTAGTGGAATTTGCCAAAATATTATTTCCATAGGCTTTAAATGGCAAAGCATTTTCTAATATTTGTGGGTTAGTGATAGAATATACTTATACCATACTGCTAACAAACCTTCTCCAATTCTAAGTAAGCTTCATAAACAAGTATAGATTTCCAACTGCATATGCCCAGATTATGTTCGGCAACTAGGATTTATGATTTTCATGACCATGGTCAACCAGCTGAGGGAGACTGAGCACCCAGTACTGAGTCATAGTGAACATAAAGCTCAGAGCAGATTTTCCCTTCTCTCTGCAGTGACCAGTGAGATGGAGAGATTACAGGTGGTCCTGGGGTGGGCGGTGTGTCGGGGTGGTGGTGGGTGTGCGGGTGGGTGGGTGTGTGTCTGTGTCTGAGCAGAACCGAGTACTCTCTCGGTCATAAGTTAAACCTGTCCCTGAAGAGCAGGTTTAAAATCAGATGGACCTTCCCAGGTGCTGAAGATCTGTATTCTTCCCGTCTTCCTTCTAAATAACATAAAGAAAAATAAAATCAAGAACCTCCCTCCCACCTGTTCTACCACCCCCATAGTAAGCTTAAAACAGGTCTATGTATGTTAGAAAGCCTGGGCAGAAGAGAAAATAATAATATAGAAAGTCCTCACTTAAGGTCATCAATAGGTTCTGTGACTTAAGTGAAAAGACGCATTAAGAAACCAATTTTACTGTACGCTAATTGATGTAAAGGAGAGTTAGGTTCCTAGGGCATCTCATCAACACTATAACAAAAGGACCTTGAATGAAATGACGGTTATTTTAGGACCTGCTGTATTCTACATTTTTTCTTTTCTGCTCCTCCCCCTTTAAATTTTTTTTTTTTTTGGTGCCTCAGTCTTTGCTACATGTTTGAGTTTTACCCAATTATTTAACCCATTTGGCAAAAAGTTCTATGGTTATTTCACAGCAGTGGTACTATGAACTAAATCGTATATGCATATGTTGAAGCCCTAACCCCCGACGTGACTGTATTTGGAGAAAGAACTTTTAAGGAGGAAATTAAGGTAAATGAGGTTATAAAGGTGGGGCCTTAATCCTATAGGACTGATGTCATAAGAAGAGGAAGAGACACCAGAGATCTCTCTCCGCTTGTACACCTGGAGGAAAGACCACACGAGGACACACTGAGAAGATGCCATCTGCATGCCAGGAAGGAGTTCTCACAAGAAACCAACCCTGACAGCACCTTGGTCTTGGACTTCCAACCTCCAGAACTGGGAGAAAATATCTTTCTGTTGTTTAAATCACCAGTCTGTGGTGTTCTGTTATGGCAGCCCAAGCAAACAAATCCAGGTGACCATACAATAGCCAACAATCTTTCTGCAACCTACATGTAATCATTCTCTTCTCTATTTAACATCTTCCAGTGGCTTCTCATCTCCTTTAGAATAAAATCACAAATGCTTGTCCTGGCCTGCTACCCTCATGCTCCATCTCCCTCTCCAACTTCATCTTCCTCCGGTCTCCTCCTCATGGTGCAGCCACACGAACCTTCCGATTCCTTGGAGCGTCCAGCTCTTTCCAAACTCGAGGTCTCCACAGATAACCCCCCTCTGCCTGATGGCTCCCCCTCTCCTGGCTCAGGCCCACTTCCCTCGGAAATGGATTCCCTGAGTCCCCAACCAATATTAGTTTCTTTCCTCTATTCCCTCTCAGAGCTCATTCATTTCTTTTATTGCACTTACCACAGGTTATAATTATGAGTTTATTTGTGTGCATACTTGTCTAATGTCTCTCCTGTCCACTGAGACGACTGTCAGCCCGAGAGGACAAGCTTCACATCTCACTTGCTCACTATTGTTCCCCCAGGAGTTGGCCTGGCCAAGGTCAGAATAGGGTTTTGTAGGGCCTGTATTTCTACAGGTTAAGCAACCTCTAGGGAAAGAATACAAAATTACAAGTACACTGTTGCAAAGGCCCCTTTCCAGGCTTTCCCCGGGGCCCACGCATGGGACGGGCCCTGAAACCTAAGCTTCGTCAGCTCTTTGGTAAATTCACCCCGATGTCCAGTGTATGCGTAATTGTCAAGTAGATAAACGAGACACTAACCCCTTGCAAACCAGCCCTTTCCACCAGTGTCAGCTGGAGTGAGCGTCACGAGGGAGGCCGCTGAAGTATAGGTAATCCTTACGTAGGGAGCTCAGACTGGTTTTTGAGGGATCCTTGTAGGTATATCCATCAAGTAGCCACTCAACATTTCCAATAGCTTCCATTCCCCACAATATAGACTTTAGTGCAGTAAAATACCCATAGCATAAAATTTACCATTTCAATCATTTTCAAGTGCACAATTCAGTGGCATCTAGTACATTCACTACGCTGTCCGACCACTACCACTATTTGGTTCCAGAACATTTCCATCGCCCCCACAGGAAATTCTATGCCCATGAAACAGTGACTCCCCATTTCCCCCTCCCGGCCTGTGGCAACCACTGGCCTTTTTGTGTATAAATTTGCCTATTCTGAATATTTCATATAATTGGACTCTAATAGCTTTTTAAAGGTACTTCTCCATTGAAAGTGAAGAGCAAGATTATTTTAAAGTTTTGGCTATTAACTAATTGGCTAGCCCAGCAACTTGAATTCCGGTTTTAAAAAATGGTCAAATACAAGATGACCAATTATCTTTGCTTCTTTACAGGTGCCTTAAAAAAAAAAAAGTTGGTGTCTTGGTGTGAAATAAGGCATGAACACTACCCTGTCTTCCGCACCTCCCCACCGCCCTCCTCCCCAAGCCCCACGCAGGCGGATGCCCGGCTTACCTAAGCCTGAAGTGTGGTCGCCAGCCCGATACATGTTTGGTTTCACTTTCACCCGAGTCCAGCCCGGACCTTCTTTATCTTGGTAAAAGTTGCAGAGATCTTCCTCAAAGTTGCAGCTTGCTTCCAAGGCACTGAAAGGAAGCTCTAAGCAAAGGAGAACCCTAGTTAAAGCGAGCTTGACCCAAGGCTCTCTGAGGACTACACCAACTGATTGACAAAGATGTACCCATTGTGCCAGGGGAGACCGGACAAGTAAAGCACATCAAAATATTTTTACCCTAATAGCGTCCTGACAGGTTAGCATCAAACCAGCCTATCAGCTGGTAGGAAAATTGTTCTTTTCCTCCCTAAAGGGATGGAAATGTTCTGTACAAAAATAAAGAAATGGCCCTGGCTGGTTTGGCTCAATGGTTAGAGTGTTGGCCCAGGGACCGAGGGGTCTTAGGTTCGATTCTGGTCAAGGGCATGTACCTGGGTTGCAGGTTCAATCCCGGCCCTGGTCGGGGCACATGCAGGAGGCAACCAATTGATGTATCTCTCTCACATCGATGTTTCTCTCTCCCTCCTTCCTTCCCTTCCACTCTGTCTACAAACCAATGGAAAAATATCCTCAGGTGAGGATTAACAAAACAAACAAATAAACAAAAAAGAAGTAACAAACTTCAAAAGAAATTTCCTTTCATGCCGCAAGGACTGCGAGCATTTATTCACATACTTGTTCACAATTAAAAGTTCTTTATACAAATTTAAAAAGAAAAGAGAGCAAAGGTAGGGATTTTAGGAAATTTTAATTTCTCTTTAAGACAGATATTTTAGAAATAATATTTTCCAGAAATAATTTCCCCTTGTTGCTCAATCTCTGTGCCAGAAGCACAGCTGCCGTCTATTTATAATTGACATTCGTAGTAAGAGCTGATCTGCTGAGAGAAAATCATTACTTAGTATAAATCGCATTGTCCAAAAGGTAAACAATTGTGTCACCCATACTGCTGTTATTTGGGCTTTTGCTGAGTTCCGGTATCATTTACCTCGGTTTATAAATGTCATCTCGTCCCAGATTGCTGGAGGAAATGGAATAGAAAATATTTTTGTTTTCTTAAAGAATAACTGGGTCCTAGTCACAAGTGACTGCAAACCTCACTGTTCAGATTGCCCTCTGAGCCCAGAGGGATGTGAACCAGAGTGTGGGGCACGTCCAGTGTAGCTGGGTGGACGCTGTTCTGCATGCTGACACCCACCGGTCTAATCCTTCAGGGCAGGGTGGGGAATGTCCGGCCCGCGGGCTAAAAAAGACCTGAGAAATCAATACCAGCTAACATCACAGGTCTCACCAAATTAGCCTGACCAAAGATGGGAGGCTAATTTCTAAGCTGATAATTTTGAATGGCCCTCGAATGATGTTATAAATATCCAAAGGGCCTTGGCAGAAAAAAGATCCCCCACCCCTGCTTTAGGACACGAGAGAGGGGACCTTGTTTTGAATACCTGGAAAACCATTTCTAGAGTAACATTTGAGTACTGCAAGCTGTTTAGGGACAAAGACTCAGTACATTCCCAGTTTATCAATTTTCAAAGCGAGAGAACATTCAAGTGGGCGGAGGAGCTGGCCCAGATTAAGGGGACAAAAGAGGTGTGACAACCCCATGCTACAGGGTCCAAGATTCAACCTCGTCAGGGAAAACCAACAGCTATAAGTGACATTACTGGGGCCACTGGAAAATGAGCATATGAGCTATAGTTCAGTTGATAACATTCTATCAGTGTTAAATTTCTGGAACTTAATAATTATGTTGGAGAATATATTTGGTTCTAGAAATCACACACCGAAGTATTTAGGGGTCAAGGGGCATAATGTCCACCACCTACTCTTTAATGCTTGATAAAGTAAATGTGGTAAAATGTTAACAATGTGTAGATCTGAGTGAAGAGTATATGGAGTCCTTGATAGTATTCTTGCAAATTTTCTCTGGGTTTGAAATGATACAAAAATATCCAGTTTTAAAAACACTAAATTAGAAAAAAAAAAAAGTGACTAACATTACAAAGAGAAGAACAGGAAGACAACATCCCTGTATAACTGGACCTCGAGTGTGTCTCAGATGACACCATGGACAAAAAGGGCACCAGATGAGCCAGACGGAGAAAGGCAGTGAAGAGAAGCCTCGGCCCTAAGACCAGTGGATTAGCCTCACGCTGCTCCACCCGACTGTCAGCATCAGGGAGCATCTTTGGGTCATGAAGACAGCCTTTCAAACATGAAAACAATGTCATACAAACAAGGGTTTTTTGACGTCCCCCCATGGAGGTTAGACACCAGGGGAACCCTTTTCCATGATGGTCTCCAGACTCAGCCACCCCTCTGCCACCTAGTAATGAAAAAGCAGAAGAAAATTTAAAATCTACAGATGGCCGGGTAGCTCAGAAAATGGCATGGCGTTCTGCAGAGCCACGCTCAGTGAGAATGGCAGGTCAGTGAGATTGCTCATCAGGAATACAGAGCAAGGAATACACCCCTGGGCGGCCGCAGAGAACCATAGCCCATTTATCAGGCATGTAGAAGAGGGTGGGAGGTGGTATTAAAGCTTGAAAGTAAGCAAGGATCAGTTCTCACCATGGTAACAAACTGGGTCATATAGGAAATAATTTTCTGAGGATAAGATTTTATATATACATATATATATATATTTATCTTCACCCGAGGACATTTTTGCATTTATCTTCAGATAGAGCGGGAAGGAGAAAGGGAGAGAAACATCGATGTGAGAGAGACACATTGACTGGTTGTCACCCACACGACCCCAACCAGGGCCAGGGACAAACTGCAACCAAGGCATGTGCCCTTAGTGGGAACTGAACCTGGGACTCTCTGGTCCACGGGCCGACGTTCTAACCACTGAGAAAACCAGGAGGGCGAGGTTTTGTTCTTTGGCTAAATATCTAGTCCTAGAAATGGATTTGTCCAGGATCCTGAGAAGGTATGATAGAACAAAAATCTCAAAAGCATAACTCAGAACCTAAATCTTTTTCACCCAGAACATAATCTCACCCTCAGAAACATCTTAGTCTCTAATTGCTGAAGATGGGACCTGTCTGTGTCCTAACGTGAGCTCCCCAGAGGTGGGGGGACAGCCTTTCCTTCAGGCTTGATTCAGAAGCACCTGGTCAAGGGGCCAAAGCTGAGCTCCTGGGAGAGTCGATGCATTCGAAGCACAGGAAGGTATCAGGCAGGAGGGAGCCCCTGAGCAGTAGCTGATCAGAGAACAAAGTCCCTAGCAAGGTACCAATAAGCATTATAATGTAAGATTTCGTTAGTCCCTTGTTTTCTGACATTTGAACTTTTTAGAAATGAAATGCTTCGAAGATAATCCTTTCAGATGGCGGGTACTGCTGTTTCAGAAGAATTGGTGGAAGTGTTTCTCATCTTTTGCTCTGCTCCTTGGAGATCATGGAGATGAACTCAGTATCAGTCCTAGAGATCTAAAAGGCTTAGCCTCTGTGGGATTTGGGCTACTGTGCGCTCTTTAGGCTAATGAATTTGCACAGTAGTTTTATTTTAGCTCGAGCCAGCCCCAAAGCAGGTTGAGGCAGCTCGAAGCTGGCTTGGGGAAGAGAGGGACCTGGCACCAGACCAAGGAATCATGACTGAGCAGAGGCTGGGCCAGTGACCAAGCTTGGGAGACCCTTGAGGGCCTCTGAGCTAAGAAAGGCTGTGGCCACTGCAGCTGTAACCAGGCAACACTTGGAGCGAGGTTTTCAATTTAACAAAAGGTCCAGGTGGTGTGTTGTTACTGGTGAATAACAGGATTGATCAAGATTGGGAGTTAGGCCTTTGAGAGTATATTTATGAGTATCAGGCCCCTCCAGTCACTGGCTCAGGTATAGGGGTGGGGCCGACCTCAGAGAGGAGGTTGGGTCTGCACGGGGCAGAACAGTGAAGTTTTCAGTACGGGGCTGAGCATTAAGGCAGGGTTCCTAGAAGTGAATGGAATAACCTGTTAGGCATTCAAGGATTTACAGCCTAAAAGGAGAGCTTATTCTTATGAACTAGACTCTGGATCTAATGGTGGAAGGGAGGGAGTTTATGAGTGGAAACTGCTTAGAAAGGGAAGTGCTAGAACTCCAGGCGGGGGGAGTGGGGAGGTCTCACTGTGCTCTGGAGCATCCTGGGGAATACCTGGGGAGCAACATGACATTGATGTTTAACCCCTGAGACTCTGCAATGAGTCTCGGGTCAGGGAAACCAGATTAACTCTAAGCCCAACCAGATGGTGGGAACCAGACGCTTCATGTGTTGAAATAACTCCTGTCTTGGCCTTCTAGGGAGGTGAGGGAAGATGCTAGATCCAGCTGGGGAAAGCAGAGACAACAAGTCTGGAATAAACCAAGATAAAGGGAAAAATGTTGGCCCCTGCTATGAGACAGAAGGGCATAAACTACTGTGAAATGTAAGATGAAGTATGAAAACGAAAGGGCTCAGCTTCGAAGACTCAGAATCTGGCTCACAGCTGCTAAAGGAAGGGCACAAAGCGGGCTGCGGCTTCCACATTCATCAAGGCAGAGTGGGTTCTCTCTCGTTTCCTCTGAGCCCGTTCTCCCGGGAATGGATGGGAGTGTTTGAAAATTAACTAAATACTATTGTTTCATGACCAAGCATTTTCTGTGTGGCACGGTCTGCTAAAGCCTTATCGCATCCATCTTCCTGACAACACTATGGAATAGATTCTTCTATCCGGTTGTATAAATGTGAAAACAGTCGCAAAGAGGTTACTTCACAAACCCAAGGTCACACAGCTTGTCGGTGGCAGCACAGGGATGTGAATCCAAAGTTCTGGCTCCCGGGCATAGCACTATGATCACGTGTTTAAACCATTTTAAAACAAAATTGGTATGTTGGGAGGTTCTGAAGACCCATTTGGAGTCTTGGTTGACCTAACTATATTAAAAAGTGAATCTCTGGGGGTCCTTGTGGAGGAAAGGTCTTTATGTGGGCTGGATTTTACAGATGGAGGGGCCATCAGCTCTTTTAATAAATGGTCCTCATTAAAGGAATAGGACCTTTTTTTTTTTTGGTCCTTATGTTGCTGGAATCTTTCTTTTCTTTTCACCAGTCAGTAGGAAAAAGCACACATATATTCTGTATCTTTTTAAAATCTTTATTGTTGACAGTATTACAGATGTCTCCCATTTTTTCCCTTTTGACTCCCCCTCCACCAAACCCTGCCCCACCCCAGACCTTCCCCATACTATTCTGAATCTTTTCAAAAGGGAAAGTATTTCCAAACATTACTTCTAAAGTGGCTCAGTAGATTCAGTGACCTTCCAGCTGCCTCCTCACCCCACCCTCTGCCAAGCACAGCTACTGAATAAACACCTCTTCTCACACACGTGTCACTTGGAAATATAAACATTCAACGTAAACGCCTAGTGACAAAGAAAAGTTTTCTAAATATAACGATAACAAGGTAAGAAACTACTATTAACATAATTGAGATATTAACTGGGAAATGAATTAGGGAGTGATCAGATTTAGAGAAGAAAAACAATTTTGGTTTCTGTGTTCTATCAAATGAAGACACTTTTAGTCTTTGATTATAGTTTAGATTAAGTAATTTTAATGAAAACGTCTAAATCCTGTCTGGTTCTTTCTGTTTCACTAGCTTTTATTTAAAAATTAGAATTAGTAAAAACAATATTTATTTTTAGCAAATTGGTACGTTTCTCTCTAATTTTGGGGTAACAGTTTAGCCTGAGTAGAAAATATTATCTTCCTTGGACCCCTTGTAGAATATACCTGAAACCATATTAAATTAGAGATGAATTCTATCTTAAGTGAAAGCCAGACTATAAAGGCCAAGTTCAAAAATTTACTTTCCATGCTCCAGAACCCAAAGGCTCAAGAAGAAAATGGGGTCCTGGCCGTTGTGGTTCAGTGGTTAGAGTGTCGGGCCCAGTCAGAGTGGCTCAGTGACTGAGCATTGTTCAATGCACCAAAGGTCACCGGTTCAATTCCTGGTTGGGGCACATGCCCGGGTTGTGGGCCCAATCCCCAGTGGAGGGTTTGTAGGAGGCAGCCAATCGATGTTCTCTCTCATCGATGTTTCTTTCTCTCACTCCCTCGCTAAAAAAAAATCATTAAGGGCTGCAGGTTCAATTCCCGGTTAAAGGCACATACTTGGGTTGCAGGTTTGATCCCCAGCCCATGTCAGGGCACTTGTGGGAGGCAACCAATTGATGTGTCTTTCTCACATTGATCTCTCTCTCTCCCCCCCCACCCCCACCCCCTTTCCCCATCCCTTGCTACTCTCTTTAAAAATCAATGGAAAAATATCCTTGGGTGAGGATTAACAACAAGGAAAAGGGAAGACTACAGTGTCTTCCCGGGGTCCCTCAAGGAAACAAAGTCACTAAAAGGTAAGGTCAATTGCATTTACCTGGGTTATCATTACTACAGTGTCAAACTTCTTATTTTAAAACATGTGTTTTCTAATTCACTTTGAATTGATTGCTTACCTATTTTTCCAGAAGGTAAAAATTTCTTCTCTTTTCCACACACCAGGTTTATGAAAATTACAAAATTAGCCATGATAAAGTAACTTGAGGTCTCACTTAGAGAATTTATGAGTACATACTATTTAGCAAAAAACCATCACAGAGATATATACCTAATACGAATATCTTTAAACATGATATGGGTCTTGGATACATAAAATTGAAAAGAGCTTTGTTTTTTTTTTAATTCTCATCTAAGGATATTTTTTCCATTGAATTTTAGATAGAGCAGGAGGGGGGAAGGAAAAGAGAGAGAGAGAAAGAGAGAGAGATCGATCACTGTGAGAGAGACACATTGATTGGTTGCCTTCCACACGTACCCTGACCAGGGTTGGGGATTGAACCTGCAACTGAGGTACATGCTCTTGACTGGGAATTGAACTCATGACCCTTTGCTCTGTGAGCAAAGAGCTTGGACCACTGAGCCAAACCATCTGCAGGCAGAAAGAATTTTTATAGTTCTATTTCATAGATTTTGAGATGTTTTTCTGCCTACTCATCACCTGTCTATGACCCCAAGATATCCATTAATGAGAAAGATCGAGAAGGAATGAGTATTCTTTAATTTTCATTTCCTAATAGGTAGGGAAGATGAATGCTCCTTAACACCTGACAAGGGCTTGTGGTGTCAGAAAAATTAGATTTACTCTGGAATAATATACCAGAAAAGTGACTATTCAGTTAAATAATTTTTTCAGGATGAGCTAATAGAAAAGGTAAGGAAACTGGAAAGAATTAAGGCAAGTCCTGACCATAGGCATCCATTGAGATGCAAATTTCCAAATATGAGGGAAAAGAATTAAAAGAACACTTACCTGTCTGATTTTGGCAGTGAACAGGAGAGAAAGAAATATCATCCAGAGCAACATATCCTCCTTTGGGACCATTGAAAGCAACTTCAAAAATAACCTGCAGAGGAAAACGACACGGTGCTACAGGTTCACCTATTTTCTGTTAGGCCCACGTGTTCTGAACCATGATTTAAAGTGATGTATTGCCCTGGCCAGTTTGGCTCAGTGGTTAGAGCATCAGAGAGACCCGGGTTCGGTTCCTGCTAAGGGCACGTACCTTGGTTGCAGTTTGTCCCCGGCCCTGGTTGGTTGTGTGGGTGGCAGCCACTTGATGTGTTCCTTTCACGTTGATGTTTCTCTCTCTCTCTTCTTCTCCCCCCCACCCCCACTCTATCTGAACAAAAAATGGAAAAATGTCCTCGGGTGAGGATAAAAAAATTAAAAATAAATAAATAAATAAATAAATAAATAAATAAAATGATGTGTCAATAAGCCAGGAGAGGCCAAGTTATCAGCATTTAAGGAATTATGTTCCCAAATAGGGGAGTTTGGGCAGCTCCCTCCTCAACCCACAGTCTCTTTTAGGAAGAGCCCTAAGTTGTATTTTATTGGTGAACTTTTCCTCCTCTGCTGAGTGTCAGCTAAAGCACCTATGTCACTTGCTGACGAGTACAGAACTGACAATTCGCAGTGTGAACTTCAGTGAGAGAAACAACAGGCTACTTGCAGAGAGCAGGTTCGGTTTCCCTGCACTTCACAGAGGAGTAAGCCCCACTGGGGCCCTTGGCCTTTCCACACACTAATGAGCTCGAGCAGGCCCCTTCTCCCCTCTGGGTCTCAGTTTCTCCATTTTTGGAAAAAAAAAGAGTTTGGACAAGATAGATCCTAAGGTCCCTTTCAGCTTAATAACAATGGCCCTGCAGAGGCCTGGTACCTGACTCGGCAAAATCCAAGAGGTGCCCTGGAAGTTTGCCTCTGGCAAGGGGAGCAGAGCAAGGATGAAGGGAACAGATGTGGACACATGAGAAGGGGCAAATGAAGTTTATACACTTAGCACTGGTCCCCAAAAGCCAACGAAGGAAGTCAGTGACAGAACTTATCTTACTGAGCAGGCCAAATGAGAATATTTCGGATCAGAATATGCTAATATGCTCATCACCGCTCATGTGGCACTCTCTTGCTCAGAAAGAGGGTCTCAAATGCTTGTTTTCCTTCTTAAAATTCACTGGAGAATACGGTGACATTAAATTCGCTGATTTCTGCAGGGTATGTTTCTCTTCCCGGCAATTGCAGAGAGCAAATAATACAGATATAATGAGTTCAGTCTACTAGAGCAAACCACACATGTGCGAATCAAAAGGATATACATTGAAGTTTAGTAATGCCCAGAATTGTAACTTTTCAGCTTTGATTTAAAAAAAAAAAATTGGTGATGTCTCACCCATATAAATGTTGCCCAAGGAGTAGTATATGCTTGGAGGGAAGGCGTTCACAAAGAGAGTGGCGGGGGGCAGGGAGGGGTGGTGTGTGTGTGTGTGTGTGTGTGTGTGTGTGTGTGTGTGACTCATTTGACTTTACTAGAAGGAAAACAATTTCTGAGGCAGTACGTGCATTTCTCTTTCTCCTTGTAACCCAGGCTCCCAGAAAACTTTCCACCAGGCTGCAAGGGCAGCTTGAGGCCTGGTCGGCCTTCGGGATAGGAACTAGCACACACACTGCAGAAGGCACTGTGCTCTTTCTGGGGCTGTGGGGGGCAGACAGCGACCTGAAGAGGGTCAGGGGAGTGGCAGGCTATATTATGCTAAGAAACAAGCCAAACAGAGAAAGACAAATATCACATGATCTCACTTATTTGTGGAATATAATGAACTAAACAAACTGCTGAACAAAATTAACCCAGAGACATAGAGGTGGGGTACAGACTGACAAGCCTCAAAGGGGGGGGGTTGTGGGGGAAGGGAAGAGATAAACCATAGAACTTACATGCATGTATGCATGACCAATGAACATAGACAACAAAGCTGGGGATGGGGTGGGGGGAAGGGGAGGAGGGTCTTAATGCAGAAAAAATGAGAAACATCTGTAACAAAAACAAATTAATTAATAAAAACTTTTTTAAAAATAAAGGGAACAGGGAAAGAGAGTGTAGAAAGCATGAAGTGAAAAATAGGGGACGGTAGCAACCTGTGGTGACTAAGACTGCACTTACAGCCCCGAACCTGCAACCACACTGTTGCCCCACTGACTCGAGAGGTCCTATGGGGTCCTCAGACGGACCTGGGCCTCCTCCTTCAGCTTTAGGTCAGATTTTAGTTCAGGGACTTTTCTAAGTGCCCTGGCACTCACCAGCTGTGTGACCTAGATAAAAAACGTCCAACTTCTTAGGCTCTCCATTTCTTTTTTTACTCCCTCACTTGAGGATTTTTTCCCCCATTTATCATCAGATAAAGTGGGAGGGAAGGAGAGAGAGAGAGAAACATCGATGTGATAGAGCCACACTGACTGGTTACCCCGACCAGGGCCGGGGATGAACTGCAACCGAGGTACGAGACCGGAATCAAACCTTCGACTCTTTGGTCCGTGGGTTGAAGCTCTCACCGCTGAGCCCAACAGGCCAGAGCTACACTCTTCATTTATTTTTTCTCTTCTGAAAAATGGGAATATTTCACCTACTTTGTTTAATTATTGTAAGTAATATAATATGGACATAGATATAGATATGTATTCATATCTGTGCTTAGAAAAATGGTCTTTCAAGGATGCAATCTAAAATGTTACAGTTCTTATCTCTGCAGGGTAGGCCCAGGCTGTTGCAGTTTGTTTTGATTTCCTGAACTTTCTAATTCTTTTGCATTGGACATTTGTCACTCATGTAACTATAGAAAGTATTAAAACTAAAGCACCATTGTTTCAAATTCGGACTGCAATCATAAACTTATTTCTGATTTCTTCGGCATTATTTATACTGTAAAGGAGAAAAAAATATATGTATTTTTTTTCCTCTAGAAAGATTCTCCTCACAAATAAGGGAATGAAAATAATCTTCTTAATAACATCCCTTCATGGGATGTTAATGGCTCTCAGGAGTGCGAGTCCCAGAGTGACTTTCACTCAGGAGGCTTTGCTCCCTTTGAACTTCCATGGCCACAGTGCACGGTTCCCAGGGAGAGTGTGCCCCAAGCACCTAGTTGGTTGACTGGTTTTTCCATATTAGTCCTTAGAAAAAACAGTCTTGTTAGAAGAAGGTGATAAAGAAGGAAGGCAGAAGGGCATACAGCCCGGCTGGTGCGGCTCAGTGGCTGAGCGTTGTTGACCCATGCACCAGGTGGTCGCCAGTTCGATTCCTGGTTGTGGCCCCGATCCCCAGTGGGGGGCATGCAGGAGGCACCCAATCGATGTTCTCTCTCATCGATGTTTCTCTCTCTCCCTCTCCCTTCCTCTCTCAAATCAATAAAGAAAAAAAATTAGAAGGGCATACACAGGAAGGGAGAGAAGTGGAGGGCGCTGAGGAAGGGAAAAGAAAAAAAAAAGATTGAGACACAGCAGAAAAGAAAGCATGAGTGTGAGACTGCAGCACCTCCCGACCCCCTGCCACCCTGCAGAGTGGCCAGGTCAGGGCCCACCTGGGACACCCACCTCCATGGGGTACGGAGCACTGAACTCCACTTCAGCGAGGTTCCAGACAGGACTCTCTGGACTGTCGGTTTTCCAGATCTCCTCATAAATGCCGGTCACATCCCGAGTATAAAGGGAGAAGACATTGTCATTCCCCTGCTGGAGCTGGTAATAAAATGACAGGCAGCCAGACATGGGGGCCGTGGTCACTGGGGAGATGAGCTGTGCCACCTCCTGGAAGTGCTTGATGTACACCGAGTCCACGTACATGTAGTGGCCTGAAAACCAGAGGAAAGAAAGCAGCGTGAGACAGGCCGGGGACTTTCGGATGAAATGGTGGGATTCCGGGATTCACTTGGGAATTATCCAGTGGCAGTGGTGGAGAGGAAGCAAATGCGTCACAGAAGAAAGACGTTCGGCCGTGGATTGATGAATGTCGTCCCTGGGAGAGAAATACATGGGGTTCCCTGTGCTCTGCTAAATATAAGATAAGAATCGTTCTTTTTCTTTTCCTTACTTTTGACTGAAGTAAGCATCCATATAGAAAGGTGAATGTATCATCTGCAAAGTGCTTGGGTTTTTACAAGCTGCACACAGCTGTGGAAAGAAACAGAATGTTACCCCAGAAGCCTCCCTCCTCCAAGCCTTCTTTGAGTTTTAAGGTTTCTAAGAACATACCAAGCACACTCTCTGTTCTTAAAAAGGCATAGACAGACATCTTTACAATATATACAAAATGTCATTTTATATTCTTTGAATGAAACTAGGATTTTGAATTCATACTGGATGACTAGTTGTGCCTCTTTAATAGAACATGTAGGCCAATCAACACTGCAGACAGGATTAGGATTTGGAAAGTGGAACCTGTGATACCACTCGTGGTGGGCTCTGGATGCAGAGGCTGACCTCCATGGGAGGTATTTGGTGAAACTGAGAAATGGGGAGAGCCTGGATTTGAGTTTGAATCAAGAGCCTGGATTTGAGAACTGAGTTCGAATCCTGCTCTACCTCTTACCAGCCCTGTGACCTTAAGCAAGTTACTAAATCTTTCTGGGTTGCAATTCCAGAATCTCTAGAATGAGAATCAAATACTTCTTTCACTGGGTTTATATGAGTATGAAATGGGATTATGTATGTGAAGTGCTTTGCATGTACCTGGCACATTGTAATTGCCTAACATAATTATAATGAAATAAAATAATGCCATTAATAATTCTAGTACTATACCATGATCTCCCCATTTTCTCTTTTCTGTAAAGAGGAGCTATCATTACGAGCGATTCTGTCTGAATTTATTTACGTGGCAACGACGGAGGGATGCTGTACAATGGAGCTTTGGCAGAAGGGCCCTTCTGTTTACGAGCTCAGAACAATTACAGCTGAATATCTTTGTTTTTATTACATTATGGCTGGTTAATAATAATTCCTTTCATCTCGGGCAGAACAGCAGTTAGAATATTAGGAAGAATATATGCATTCATACACTGGACACTTACTCTGCATCTAGCACACTTGCCCAGGATGTAGGCCCTCAACCAGTGGTTATTCAAAGCACAAATATGGTCTCAGAAAGGTCCTCACCTCAACGAGGAGGAGAAAGATGGACAAATCAAAGCTTACTTTCTCCTGGTAGCTAATTGTCCACCCCCACCTTGAATAACCTTCCTTGTCGAAACATAATTTCTCAGATCATCTCACCAAGCCATGCAACTGCGAATGAATGGAGATCACAAACTCGAATCCTCTGAGGAGCCAGCTAGATCAGGGATAGGATCGAAGTGGATTGGGTCAGGAGGAAAAAAAAAGAGGGTACTGAATTAGTTGCCAACATTTGAAATCATATTTCACCAGCAATGAGGAACAGAAACTAAGCTTCTCTGAAAGAGTCAGCAAATCCGATAGCCCTAGGCCCACATCCTCTCGGTGAGAGCGGCCGGCCACACACCACCTTGTCTCCAGCCCATCCTGAAGCCCTTCCCTCTGCTCCCGGCTCGGCCCTGACGTCCAACCTGGTGCCGCAGGCTATGCTCACCGAAGCTCAAATCCAGATTTTTATGGCAACTCTCTCCACTTCAAATGCTATCCTCCTATTAGTGTGCGAGGGTTGCTATAGCGAAGTGCCACACACGAGGTGGCTTAAATGACAGAAATGGATTGTTGCACAGTTCTGGAGGCTAGAAGTTCAAGATCAAGGAATGGAGAGGACTGGACCCTCTGAGGGCTGTGAGGAGGAACAGGCCAAGGCCTCTCTCCCAGCTTGGTGTTTGCTGGCATCACCCGGCCTCTGCCTTCATGTCCACATGGTGCTCTTCTCTGTGCATGTCGCTCTGTCTCCACATTTCCCCCTTTTCGTTTGTTTTTTTTAATCCTCACCTGAGGATATTTTTTCAAATATCAGATTGAATGGGAGAAGGCGAGAGAGAGAGAGAGAGAGAGAGAGAGAGAGAGAGAGAGAGAGAGAAAGAGAGAGAGAAAGAGAGAGAGAAAGAGAGAGAGAAAGAGAGAGAGAAACATCGATGTGAGAGAGACACATTGTTTGGCTGCCCCCCATAGGACCCTGACCAGGGCCGGGGACAAACTACAACCAAGACACGTGCCCTTGGCCGAAATCGAACCCGGGAGGCTTTGGTCTGCAGGCCGAAGCTCTAACCGCTGAGCCAAACAGGCCAGGGCCACATTTTCCCCTTTTATAAGGACACAAGTTATACTGGACTTGGGGCCCACCCTACTTCAGTATGATCTCTGATCTCATCTCACCAGTTATATCTGCAATGACCCTGTTTCCAAATAAGTTCACCTTCTGAAATACTGGGTGTTAGAACTTCAACCTATGAATTTGGAGGAAATACAATTCAACCCATAATACCCTTCACCATCCTTTTGTTCAAACGTTGTATTGCCAGATAAACATGTCTGCAGGCTGGAAACCGATCTGCCACCTCTGGGGAGGGATTTTAAAGGAAGAGTCACGTCAGACTGAGCAGAGTCGAAGAACCTGTGGTATTGAGGGAGGCCGCGCTGGCGGCCAGCCAGCCTGCACTAGAACAGGTTGCTGATGGAGAACGCATGGCAGCCGCTGGCCTCTGTAGCTCTCCTCTGTCACTGAGACCTCTGTGAGTGTCAAAGGCAGAGAGGAAGTGTTTAAAAAAATTTATTTAATTATTTTTTGACTTGAAATAGTTTTTTATTTTTCAATTATTTTCCAATTTTTCAACTTGGTGTGCGATATTGTCTTGGTTTCAGGTGTATAACCCAGTGGTTGGACATTATATAACTTACTAAGTGATCACCCCGCTACTAGTGCCCCCCTGACACTACACACAGTTATTACAATATTATTGACTATATTCCCTATGCTGTATTTCACATACCTGTGACTATTTTGTAACTGTCAATCTGCACTTCTTAATCCCTTCACCTTTTTCACTCATCTCCCCAACTTCCCCATCTTTCACCAAGTCCCCCAATCCCCCTCCCTTCGGGTAACCAGCAATTCTCCAGAGAGGAAGCTTATAATGCCCTTTAAAACATAATATGTCTTGTAATGAAACAATCTCTTTCCAAGATATGCCACTGGGGAGACTGGGCAGAAGAGCTATAATGGTTTGCTTAGTTGATACCTCTTTGTGGGGGCCATGGAGGTGGGCTGCTGACATTTCCTTCGAGTGGACTTGCTGCAAGGACCACAGCCGACTGGCAGCCTCCAGCTGGCTCACATGTGGCGCCACAGCAGCGCCTGTGCCAGGGCCTCACCACACCGGGCTGTTCTCAGCCAGGGACAGAGGGTGCCAGAGCAGGGCCAGTCTGTGTGACACGGGGCTCTGCAGCGACGCCCCATCAGCCTGGCCCCTCTCTTCCACAGGCACCAGCCTTCCATCCTGGGCTGAGGGCTCTCCCACCAAGGGTGCACCATGACCTTCACCACCATGGCCCCTTTCTCCATAGAACTTAGTAACAATTACACTTCACAACTGCATGGGTGTAGTGATGAATATAATCTAGGCTGCACTTGTATTTGTTATTATTATGTTCATTTTTTCTTTTGATTTAAAAATAAGTAACATATAAACATTCTCATGGCTCCCTAAAAATGTCATGGCTCCCAGGCACTGTGACTTCAATGCCTAACGGATATATTGACCTGGCTCAGCTACTCCAGCTCTCTCCCCTTTGTCCTTCACAGTCATTTCCCCCAATGAATCTCTTTCACACCGAATCCCGCCTTAGTGTCTGCTTCTTGGAGGACCCGCACTGACAGACCCAGGAGGAGGGAAGTCATTCTACCCAGGGGAAGGAACACCTCCAAAGACTCTCAGTGAATCTGGGTGAGAGGGGCTCACAAATCCACTTGAAATTATTCATGCTACTTCCAGAGTGCACAATAACTGTGCTTAGAGAAGCGTCTCAGAGCCTGTGAAATTACGCATTATCTTCCTCACAATGGACAGAAATCTGACCATCTTCTTTAAAGTCTGGTTACTGACCTGCTGTGTGAACAACATCTTAATCCCTGAATTTGCAGTTCAGGGCCCTCATTAACAACACATGCACAAGACACTAGGCCACATGAGCCACAATCACATTTCAGATCCAAAAAAACATCCAGCAAACACAACGTGACCTGCCCAAAGTGAGTCAGAGAGGCTTCTGGGAACAAGAATAGGACTGCTGACAAGTCTCATATGGAACCACTAGACTAGACCACATACCCCTCCCCGCCCCGCTCCCATCATTCATTTGTTGCCAATGTTGGGTACTATTTACTGAGTAAGACTAAGTTTTTCACTGGAAAACCTAAGGTAGCTCATCATCATTCAGCTTTACTGTCTCAGCTGAAGAGGTGAGGATGATTCAGGAATCACCAGGTGTCTGCCCAGGATGAGCGTATGTCGTTGTTGGGTACAATCCGCTCTGAGCACATGGCTGGGTGGGTGCACCAGTCTGTGTACCTTTCCAAGGGGGATGAAGAAGGTAGCCTGGAGTTCTTAGAAAATTATGCCTAGTGGCTGGTTGTATTTTGAGAATTTTCCTGCCTGCTTTAGTGAGGCCAACCCTCCTATCTGGTTCTAGAGCCTCCAGAATTTCTGGGAGAGGCAATTTTTATCAGATCCTTTTAAGTTTGAGTAGGATGAAACTAGGTATCGATAGACCCTATGTGGACAGAATCCTCTAATCAACCAAATTACTGGGGATTCTGTAGGCCACCAAAATTTGTAAGTATTACATTTAAAACTGGAAATGAGAGAGCCTATGACGGGGACAAAGGGCGCCCCATAAG